AATTAAGGAGGGACAAGACGAGTGAATGAAATTAAAAATGAGGGACAAGACGAGTGAATGAAAAAAGAGGGACAAGAAGGGGAAATGAAGGGACAAGACGAGTGAATGGAATAAAAAGGGACAAGAAGAGTGAATGAAATTAAGGAGGGACAAGACAGGAATGAATAAAAATAAATGGGACAAGAAGGAATGAAATTAAGGGACAAGACGAGTGAATGAAATTAAGGAGGGACAAGACGAGGAATGGAATAAAAATAGGGACAAGACGAGTGAATGAAATTAAGAAGGGACAAGACGAGGAATGGAATAAAAAGGGACAAGACGAGTGAATGAAATTAAGGAGGACAAGACAGGTGAATGAAATTAAGGAGGGACAAGACGAGTGAATGAAATTAAGGAGGGACAAGATGAGTGAATGAAATAAAAAGGGACAAGACGAGTGAATGAAATTAAGGAGGGACAAGACGAGTGAATGAAATAAAAGAGGGACAAGACGAGGAATGAAATTAAGGAGGGACAAGACAGGTGAATGAAATTAAGGAGGGACAAGACGAGTGAATGAAATTAAGGAGGACAAGACGAGGAATGAAATTAAGGAGGGACAAGACGAGTGAATGAAATTAAGGAGGGACAAGACGAGTGAATGGAAATATAACAAAGATGGACAAGACAAGTGAAGATGAGGAATGAAAGGAATAAGAGAGGGACAAGACAAGACAGAATGGAATAAAAAAGGGACAAGAAGAGGAATGAAATTAAGGGGGACAAGACAGGTGAATGAAATTAAGGAGGGACAAGACGAGTGAATGAAATTTAAGAGGACAAGACGAGTGAATGAAATAAAATTGGGACAAGACGAGTGAATGAAATTAATGTTAAATTAGGGGGACAAGATGAGTGAATGAAATTAAGGAGGGACAAGACGAGGAATGGAATTAAGACAGAAAGTGAATGAAATTAAGGAGGGACAAGACGAGGAATGAAATTAAGGAGGGACAAGACGAGTGAATGAAATTAAAAAAGATAGGAATGAAATTAAATAGGACAAGACGTGAATGAAATTAAGGAGGGACAAGACGATGAATAAATAAAGGAGGGGACAAGACGAGGAATGAAATTAAGGAGGGACAAGAGGAGTGAATGAAATTAAGGAGGGACAAGACGAGTGAATGAAATTAAGGAGGGACAAGACGAGTGAATGAAATTAAGGAGGGACAAGACGAGTGAATGAAATTAAGGAGGGACAAGACGAGTGAATGAAATTAAGGAGGGACAAGACGAGGAATGAAATTAAAGAGGACAAGACGAGGAAGGAGGGGGACAAGACGAGGAATGAAATTGAGGAGGGACAAGATGAGTGAATGAAATTAAGGAGGGACAAGACGAGGAATGGAATAAAAAAGGGACAAGAGGAGGAATGAAATTAAAAAGGACAAGACGAGGAATAGAATTAAGGAGGGACAAGACGAGGAATGGAATAAAATTAAAAAGGACAAGACGAGTGAATGGAATAAAAGAGGGACAAGACGAGTGAATGGAATAAAAAAAGGGACAAAACGAGTGAATGAAATTAAGGAGGGACGAGACAGGTGAATGAAATTAAGGAGGGACAAGACGAGTGAATGAAATTGAGGAGGGACAAGACGAGTGAATGAAATTAAGGAGGACAAGACGAGTGAATGAAATTAAAGGACAAGACGAGTGAATGAAATAAAAATAGGACAAGACGAGTGAATGGAATAAAATAGGGACAAGACGAGTGAATGAAATTAAGGAGGGACAAGACGAGTGAATGGAATAAAAAAGGGACAAGAAGAGGAATGAAAAATTAAGGAGGGACAAGACAGGTGAAATTAAAATTAAGGAGGGAATGAAATTACGAGGGAATGAAATTGAATGGAATGGGACAAGATGAGTGAATTAAATTAAGGAGGGACAAGACGAGTGAATGAAATAAAAGAGGACAAGACGAGTGAATGAAATTAAAAGAGGACAAGACGAGGGGACAAGATGAGGAATGAAATTAAGGAGGGACAAAATTAAGGGACAAGACGAGTGAATGAAAGACGAGGAAGGAGGGACAAGATGAGTGAATGAAATTAAGGAGGGACAAGACGACAAGAAGAATGGAATAAAAAGAGGGACAAGAAGAGTGAATGAAATTAAGGAAGGACAAGACAGGAATGAAATTAAGGAGGGACAAGACGAGTGAATGAAATTGAGGAGGGACAAGATGAGTGAATGAAATTAAGGAGGGACAAGACGAGTGAATGGAATAAAATAGGGACAAGACGAGTGAATGAAATTAAGGAGGGACAAGACGAGTGAATGGAATAAAAAAGGGACAAGAAGAGGAATGAAATTAAGGACAAGACAAAGAAATTACGAGACAGGTGAATGAAATTAAAATTAGGACAAGACGAGTGAATGAAATTAAGGAGGGACAAGACGAGTGAATGGAATAAAATAGGGACAAGACGAGTGAATGAAATTAAGAAGGGACAAGAATGAGTGAATGGAATTAAATAGGGACAAGACGAGTGAATGAAATTAAGGAGGGACAAGACGAGTGAATGAAATTAAGGAGGGACAAGACGAGGAATGGAATTAAAAAGGGACAAGAAGAGTGAATGAAATTAAGGAGGACAAGACGAGAATGAAATTAAAAAGACGAGGAATGCAAGACGGGACAAGACGAATGAAACTAAGGAGGGACAAGACGAGTGAATGAAATTAAGGAGGCACAAGACGAGTGAATGAAATTGAGGAGGGACAAGACGAGTGAATGAAATTAAGGAGGGACAAGACGAGTGAATGAAATTAAGGAGGGACAAGACGAGTGAATGAAATTGAGGAGGGACAAGATGAGTGAATGAAATTAAGGAGGGACAAGACGAGTGAATGGAATAAAAAAGGGACAAGAGGAGTGAATGAAATTAAGGCGGGACAAGACGAGTGAATAGAATAAAAGAGGGACAAGACGAGTGAATGAAATTAAGGAGGGACAAGACGAGTGAATGGAATAAAAGAGGGACAAGACGAGTGAATGAAATTAAGGAGGGACGAGACAGGTGAATGAAATTAAGGAGGGACAAGACGAGTGAATGAAATTGAGGAGGGACAAGACGAGTGAATGAAATTAAGGAGGGACAAGACGAGTGAATGAAATTAAGGAGGGACAAGACGAGTGAATGGAATAAAATAGGGACAAGACGAGTGAATGAAATTAAGGAGGGACAAGACGAGTGAATGGAATAAAAAAGGGACAAGAAGAGTGAATGAAATTAAGGAGGGACGAGACAGGTGAATGAAATTAAGGAGGGACAAGACGAGTGAATGAAATTGAGTTGGGACAAGATGAGTGAATTAAATTAAGGAGGGACAAGACGAGTGAATAGAATAAAAGAGGGACAAGACGAGTGAATGAAATTAAGGCGGGACAAGACGAGTAAATGGAATAAAATAGGGACAAGACGAGTGAATGAAATTAAGGAGGGACGAGACAGGTGAATGAAATTAAGGAGGGACAAGACGAGTGAATGAAATTAAGGCGGGACAAGACGAGTGAATGGAATAAAATAGGGACAAGACGAGTGAATGAAATTAAGGAGGGACAAGACGAGTGAATGAAATTAAGGAGGGACAAGATGAGTGAATGAAATTAAGGAGGGACAAGACGAGTGAATGGAATAAAAGAGGGACAAGAAGAGTGAATGAAATTAAGGAGGGACAAGACGAGTGAATGAAATTGAGGAGGGACAAGATGAGTGAATGAAATTAAGGAGGGACAAGACGAGTGAATAGAATAAAATAGGGACAAGACGAGTGAATGAAATTAAGGCGGGACAAGACGAGTAAATGGAATAAAATAGGGACAAGACGAGTGAATGAAATTAAGGAGGGACAAGACGAGTGAATGGAATAAAATAGGGACAAGACGAGTGAATGAAATTAAGGAGGGACAAGATGAGTGAATGAAATTAAGGAGGGACAAGACGAGTGAATGAAATTAAGGAGGGACAAGATGAGTGAATGAAATTGAGGAGGGACAAGACGAGTGAATGAAATTAATGAGGGACAAGACGAGTGAATGAAATTAACGAGGGACAAGACGAGTGAATGAAATTAAGAAGGGTCAAGACGAGTGAATGGAATAAAAAAGGGACAAGAAGAGTGAATGAAATTAAGGAGGGACGAGACAGGTGAATAGAATAAAAGAGGGACAAGACGAGTGAATGGAATAAAAAAGGGACAAGACGAGTGAATGAAATTAAGGAGGGACGAGACAGGTGAATGAAATTAAGGAGGGACAAGACGAGTGAATGAAATTGAGGAGGGACAAGATGAGTGAATGAAATTGAGGAGGGACAAGATGAGTGAATGAAATTAAGGAGGTACAAGACGAGTGAATGAAATTAAGGAGGTACAAGACGAGTGAATGAAATTAAGGAGGGACAAGATGAGTGAATGAAATTGAGGAGGGACAAGACGAGTGAATGAAATAAGGGCAGGACAAGACGAGTGAATAGAGTAAAAGAGGGACAAGACGAGTGAATGAAATTAAGGCGGGACAAGACGAGTGAATGAAATTAAGGCGGGACAAGACGAGTGAATGGAATAAAATAGGGACAAGACGAGTGAATGAAATTAAGAAGGGACAAGACGAGTGAATGGAATAAAAAAGGGACAAGAAGTGAATGAAATTAAGGAGGGACGAGACAGGTGAATGAAATTAAGGCGGGACAAGACGAGTGAATGAAATAAGGCAGGGACAAGACGAGGAATAATGGAATAAAATAGGGACAAGACGAGTGAATGAAATTAAGGAGGGACAAGATGAGTGAATGAAATTAAGGAGGGACAAGACGAGTGAATGAAATTAAGGAGGGACAAGACGAGTGAATGAAATTAAAGGCAAGACGAATGAATGAAATTAAGGGAATGAATGTACAAAACGAGACGAGAATGAAACTAAGGAGGGACAAGACGAGTGGATGAAATTAAGGAGGGACAAGACGAGTGAATGAAATTAAGGAGGGACAAGACGAGTGAATGGAATAAATGTGGGACAGACGAGGGAATGAAGTTAAGGAGGGACAAGACAGGTGAATGAAATTAAGGAGGGACAAGACGAGTGAATGGATTAAAAGAGGGACAAGACGAGTGAATGGAATTAAGGAGGGACAAGAGAGTGGACTGAAAATCTTGACGGAAGGAAAGACCTCATGGAAATTATCGAACAAATAATGGTAATAAATATGACTAAAGAATTAAAAAGAAAAAAGCTACTGTTTTGGAAAATGAATAAACAAATATATAAATTAGAAAGAAAGAAAGAATAAATGAAAGAAACAAACAAAGATGGGAATATTTGAAAGTGAATAATGAAAACATTCAGTTGAATGGAAAGGAAAAGAAAGAAAATGAAGAACTAAAAGAAACAAAGAAAGAAATAACGTAAAAAGAAAGAAAGCCCACTGAAAATGATTGAACGTGAATAAAGAAAACATTCAGTTGAATGAAAGAAAAATGAAAAAAGAAAACGAAAACCAAAAGAAAGAGAGAAAGAAAGAAAAAGGGAAGGAAAAATGAAAAATAGGAATTATTGAAAATGAATGAATAAAATATTAGGTTGAAAGACATTAAGGAGAAAAGAAAAAGAATGAAAGCGTGAAGAATAGAAAAAAAGTACAAAAATGAAAAACTCGAAGAAAGAAAGAAGGAAAGAACAATGGGAATTATTAAAAATGAATAAAGATAATATTAAGTTGAATGAAATGAAGAAGAAAAAAAACGAAGAACCACAAGAAAGAAAGAAAGAAAGAAGAAAAGAAAGAAAGAAAGTACAATGGGAATTATTGAAAATGAATAAAATATTAGTTTGAAAGAAATTAAGAGGGATATGAAAAAAGATAGTAACAAAAGATGAAGAGAAAATGTAGAACACAAAGAAAAAGAAAGAAAGAGTCCTTATTTTTAAATGAAAAAATATGGAAATAAGTAAAAGAAAAAAGAAAAATTGAAAAGGACGGAAGGGTAAGGGAATTACCGAGTTCTAATAAAACGAGGCAAAAATAACTTAATTAGAAGAAAGATTAAACAGAAAGCCAAGAATCAATGAAGAAATAATCAGCAGAAAAGAGGGAAGAAGCGAAAATGAAAATTTAAAAAAGAGCGAAGGAAATGAAAAAAGAATGTATAATTAGCATTTTTAAAGTAAATAAATGAATAATTTTAATGAATGGAAGAAAAAGAACGAAAGAAAGCAAAAGAAAGAAAGAATGGATGAAAGAAAGAACTCACGAAATAAGAAGAGAAATGAAAGAAAAGTGAATACACAAATCAATGAATAGGAACAGCAACGAAACGAAAAGAAATTTAAAAAATAAAACGAAAATTGTCGAGAGAGAAGAAAAGAAAAACACAGACAATAAAGTAAATGATAATTAATGAAGGATCAATTAGTCTTGTCACGTGATCATTGACATATCACAACTGAATTCCCATGTTTGGTTGTCGAACAAAAGGGCAGACATCGCGTCGGTTCTTCGATAATTGGAATGAGACCAATAACACTAAATAAAGACCAATCGTCTGGGAGGTGGTTTAATGGCAGAAACACCAAAGATAGTTCAAGAGGTTCGCGGTTCAAAGCTCCTGTAATCCACGATTTCAAATACTAATTATCTAAGGGGTTTAGGCCCTTCCTACAGAAGGGACATGATCTTTTTTCTCCTCTTTTTGCGCTACCTTTTATTAGTCACCAGTAGTTCCGCTAAATTTAGAAATCTGTAACCTCGTTGACAGTGTTAAGCATTTTCTTCTGATGTCAGAGACCGATACTCAATCTTAAAACAAACATAAGATTTTGAATGCAGTTTTTCTAAGCAGGTTGGACTTTCTCACATTTAGAGATGGGCTTTAAACTGGCCGTCATATCCTCCACCCCCACCTCGGTTAAGCTTTGTAACATACAAAGATTATTTATTATCAACATGGTTTATATAGTCAAGAATTTTGCACTTCTGCTAGGCTCTGGAAATCAGTATTCTTCACGTTTCTCTCCTCATATAAACTATAAAAGTCGACATCTAGACGCTCATGTGTATGTCATGTATGACGTCAACATAAATCCGAAATGCAAACACTCTTATCTAAGTCCGACATTTCTCAGAACAATGGCTTCAATCCAATGCATACACTCAGTGTGACATAGGACCAGCCTTTATAGAATCGTATAGACTGGCATTACAATATCACAAAATGTTTACGAAGTAATAAAAACATCACATCCATAGAAGAATACAAATTGAAAAAACAACAAAACGAGTAATACATGAGCATGAATGAATAATAATTATTTAATCAAACTTAATTTAACTTGGCATATTAGCTTAGACGAATGTTTGGAAGGAAACCTCATCAATGCTAGAAAAAGTGTTAACACCTAGTTTTCCTGACTAAAAAATGTGTGTTAACAAAGGTGTATAAATTTCAACCGACAATAAAACCAAATTTTCGGTCAATGAATGCCGTTTTTTCAGGTCTGGACATGGCAGATTTTGGAATATTACCAATAAAACTGTCTTTTAAGCAAAGTCTGTGTTACAAGAATGGACTGAAAAGTTTATCGGCTGACAATGAAAGAGTTATGCTTTATTCTAACGATGTTGTGACAGTATCTTTTTGCTTAATATATTGTCTGAACTTGAAATTGTTCTAGCCACATCTATCTCCCGGTCCGAATCTTATTGAAAGCATATCTCCCAAGCCCAGTACTTGGTGAGGGTGGAGGATTGGCCGTTGATCCCCCCACCACCATAAGGTAAGCCGTATATTCAGTCACCATCATGAGGAAGAAGGCAGACAACTACTTGCTGGCCTGTGTGAGTAGAGTTTCGCTCTAGGAGAAACCCTTTTACATTTTTACATTTTTCTTTGATTTTTCTTTTTTTGTTTTTTTTTGTTTTTTTTTATTCTTTATTATTTTTTCGTTTTTAAATTTATCTATTTTTTCTCTCCCACCACTCAAAGACATTTTGTCCCAATGATTCTCCCTTATTTGATAGTTTAGTAAGAAATCCCGGTTCGAAAAAAACAAAGCAGGAAAAGTGGAAAATTGAATGTCTTTTGCTAGATGCGAATGGTGTCTCGTCAGTATTCTAACGATGTTGTGACAGTATCTTTTTGCTTAATATATTGTCTGAACTTGGAAATGTTCTAGCATGTGTGAGTATAGTTTCGCTCTAGCAGAAACCTATTTACATTTTTACATTTTTCTTTGTTTTTTTTGTTTTTTTTATTCTTTATTATTTTTTCGTTTTTAAATTTATCTATTTTTTCTCTCCAACCAATCAAAGACATTTTGTCCCAATGATTCTCCCTTATTTGATAGTTCTTCAAGAACTCCGGCGACCCCTCTGACCCTTCCAACTACCGTCCTATCAGTCTCCTTCCCCTCTTCGGCAAAGTTTTCGAAGCCCTAATCAATATCGGGGTGATTAACCACCTCACATCCCATAATCTGCTCTCAGACAAGCAATATGGTTTCCGCTTTGCCCGATCTACAGATGATGTGCTTACGGCCATCACTGAAACTGTCTACCGAGCTCTCCAAAATAACGGGGAAGCCCGAGCCGTGGTACTAGACATCTCCAAAGCATTTGATAGGGTTTGGCATGCCGGCCCTCTTCGCAAGCTCCAGAGTAGTAGTACCTGTTAAGGTCTCAGCTATGGGCAAATAGCTAACTCACAAACTGTTGTGAAAACATTATGAATGTATAAAAAATAAGTTTTAATACTAGCAATTTTTTGAGTAAAAAGTAATACCAGCAATACCTTTTTTAAAGGGAAAAAATACCAGTAATATATTTTTGAAAAAAAAAGATTACCAGCAAGAAATTTTTGTTCGGCATTAAATAACCCATTGATGTTGATATGCCGTGAAACAAAACCAAACCAATCTTTTTAGTTAAATGGACATCTGAATGTTTAAAGAAGACTTCATAAGTAACAAGTAGCGACATCTCTTGAGAACGATCAAGTTTTTCCATCGTATTATCCCCGCCGAAAAAGCGTTCACCACACATGGACATTCATGCTGACATAGTTGTAACCTTAGGGGATGGCACCACAGCTTAATCAACAGCGCAAAAGTCAGAAGCTGAATTTCAGGGAGTATCGGAGAGTCTTAAAGATGATTCAAGATCTGCATGTACTGAGATTTCCACCACCACGGAAAACATTTATCGTGTTCACGACATGGATGACCATCGATGGACTATAAAACAAATACCTAATGCTAATAGTATATTCCGTGAGATAGCTGAGAATAATCTGCACAATGACATTGACATGACGGTGGCTTCTGCTCGATGGGATTCACGTTTTCTGACAACTCATGAAAACCGCAACAAGCTGATCACATCACGGGAAAATCTGACATTGTTTGACGCAAATAGAGGTGTTTCCTTGAATATTTCTCAAGGCAGTGTGAATGCTGGGCCCATTATTTTGAGCCATAGATAATCCATGCAGTGGAAACACCTCGCTACGACTGCTCCAAAGAAGCCGCTTTATCTGAACGGAAGGTGATGACCTCAGTTTCTTTGTATGCGAAAGGCACTATGTATATTGTTTAAAAGGCCACACCACTAATGGAAAGTACTATGCCAACGCCATGAGGCAGTGAAGAACGACGATAAAGACCAAAAGCCGAGGAAGACTGATGAAACAGGTCTTGTCTTATCAGGACAATGCTTCAGCACATGTCATTGGTTTCTATGTCTACTGTGCAAGACCTTGATTTTGAACTGGTTGATAACCCTCCCTCTTCTCCTGATTTGACTGTCATCTGTTCGCCAATAGTTGACAGGTAGCAAATATCGTAGTGATCATGACGCCATGTCTGCTTTTGATGACTATTTTGACCAACAGGAGGAGCAGTCTTCTTTAACCACTCAGTTTACCTGGAAATAAGCAATGCACTTTTTTAATTAATAAGATTTGAAGTCTGTCTATATTTCTGAGATGAGGTATCATGTACACTATTTACATTATTCGAACTATTGTCCTCATCTTCGTTGCCATATTTATCACAGCGTTTCGGCCGCTGTACGCTCCGGCTTTCTTCAGGTGTTTGGAATGTCGAACTGAACCCTTTATTTCGCTTGCTGGGGTAGACTGTTCTAGTTCCACATGCCATGTCCGATGGATGTCAATTATCAGTTATCTCCTGTTAATTCCCCTTTACCAGGTATTGAACTCACACTGTTTGGGTCCTGTCACTGGATCTAACTAAGGCCTTTATCCAATGTGCCATGTTTCCTGGAGTTGAAGTTACTGCATGCAGCATTTCAGAGCTTGAGAGTCGCGTTTTAACATTTCAGCTCACTCTTGTAAATATTAATTACTGACAGTATTACTGTTTTTCAGTGCATTTCTATTGAAATCATTTTCATTTCATTATTTTCAACACTAAGATCATTGTCATTATATTATAACTGTTCACCTGGTGGCAGGCATGCAGCTATTATGGAAGGCAGAGTATCTAGGCCATCAGTTATCTGACTAAGTATCTTCTTTATCAACAAAAAAATAATTCCAAAGTAAACTTAATTATTCCTCCCAAAATATTAATCACCGGCTGGACACTGGATAAACTCTGAATGGCTGCAATTTTGTTCGTCCTTGGGATGCGCGGTAGCCGGAAAGCAAAATATATTCAAAGAGCCGCGTTCGAATTCTTCGTATTAATGAGTTCATCTATTCTTCCGACCAGAAGAAGTTTAAAAATCAATACAGACTGGGCTCTCTAGCCTTTGTTGGCATCCATTCTAGGTGAAGGATTTCGCTTAGTGATTAAGATTCCGTCATGAAGGAAATGAGGCACGGTGAAATAATGGATATCGGTTTGGTTTAAGGAATCGGAGAGCCGAGTTTGAATTCCAGTCGAATACATTACATTCACTTACATGCTAATACTCTTGGGAAAGGTATGAATCCTCTACTTCTCCCCCCAGCTATGATAGCAGGACAGACCCGGTTCTATAGCCTTGGATGGCAACTGGTCTACCGCAGAAATAAATGGCAACCTACTTCGAGGAAAAAAATCTGCCTCGTCAGTCATGTATCGAAAGATAATATTATCGCCTATGCGTGTAACACGCACGGCATATAACTGTTGAAGGGAAGGGGAGAGCACAACACAAGAAGTCATGGCAAATCAGAGAAAATTAGGAAAAGGAAGCTGTAGAGAGCTATTACCGTTTATTTTATGAAGATAATTATCACAATTAAAATTATATATCTTGGAGTAAACCGCTTGCATAGGAATAGAAATTAATAAAGTTCACAAAAATTTAAAGGAGGACAAGACAAGGACGTGTCTTCTCGCTGTATTTGTTCACCATCTACGGCGTGTCTAACCTAAGGGACGCAACCAGGATTTGTTATCGGTGGGTGTGGTCTTAACAGTATAACATACGCGGGAGACACTGTCTTTATGGAAGATACATTACTGAACAACAAGAAATTT